AATTGTGGATTGTCAAAATAGCTTCCAACTTTTGCACATGCGCGTAAAACATGCACAGTGCACCAACTGAGCTGCGCAAGAGGAAATCCGTCCTCAATTGCGCGAGCAATGTTTAGCGCACAGTCAGCGCTCCAATGCTGTGGATCCAGGTGCGCAAACTCACAGAATTTCACCAAACATTCTTGAATTTTTTCAGATGTCTGAGGGTTCACTAAAAAATAGCAAAAGGGGAAAATTGTGTTTTGACTTGTTTTCATTGTTACTGCAAACAATTGGATCTTTCCTTTAATTAAAGAATGAGTGGAATCGACGTGGAGAGGGTTATCAATGCTATGCACCAATTCTTTTGCAGCAAAAGGTGCATATATGATTGTAAACTCGGAAAAATCTCCATTGTAATCAAATTGAACGAGATCATCTGGGCACTCTTCCTGTAAATTATTCAAAAATGCTTCCAAAGAAGTGTAAGGATCGTTTGATAATCTTTGTGCAATAATCTCATCAAGGCGATAAAATTTGTGCTTTAAAGCATCAGTAGACTGCGCGAAAAGTTTCATCGTTTCTTTGTTATTCGTATCAATTCCGAACTTATCAAAAAATGCTTTTTGAGCAAGAAATTGCTTTCCACCGTTTTTAATATAAAGTTCGATCCATTTTTGATAAAATTTACTCGCGTAATGTGAACCCATTTCAACTCCTATATGATGGCAATGTTCTTCATTAACTTTGCTTATAGTAAACACTCCATTTTGTTCTTCAACCCTAAATTTTGCCTTGCATAGGGGATACGAACATGAATAAGTGACATATTGCTTTGGAGATCCCGTTCTTCTTCTGTATGGGACACCGCCCTTGACTTCCTGTTTAATACCAAAAGCAATAAGCTCCTCTAAGTCCACCGAAATCATAAAAATGAAGTGATTTTGAAAAGAGTTAACAAAATTCAAATCGAATGGGGGACAAACTCGCCCATTGTCACTTTTCATTAACCTTAAACTTGTAATTTTCATTATTTTTAATTAACCTTATTTCTTTCCCAATTCCTGATTTATTTTATTCACTTACTATTAAAAGTCACATTTTAATAAAATATAATAATTTATTTATAGCATTTTTTACTATACTGTAATAAAAAATTAATTATAATAAATTAAATGTTTATTAAATCAAATGTTTTCTTTGCAATAATATTTTTAATGTTGAGTAAACAATGTTGGGATCAAGTGTATCATTTTTCAGACCTTTCTGAACAGCTTCAAGCATACTGATGCATTCGACTTTTTTAAATTGTGTCATTTCTTCGAAATCTCTTGTGACTTTTTTGATAACTTTAACACTTCTCTCTGAATCCAGACCTTTAATTTGCAACTTAATCAGGAATGAAGGAACAACACTGGAATATAACTCGATGACAAGTTCATCGAGTCGAAGATTTGGTTGTACACCACTTGTATGTGCCGGATACCATTGTGTCAAATTTTTTCTGAAATTAACTTTAAAAGTACTAAGTAAGATCATGAGATATAGCAATATATGTTTAAACTAACTTATATTTTGTCATAAGACGAAATGGTTGAAGTGAGGTGAAGTCAAAAAGTGACATATATTTGGCCGGCTAAATTCCCCTTTAGTTTACATGTCAAAATTACAATAAATTAATTATTTTGCTTAGCAATTAGCTATGTATTAAAACTAAAATTATTACTATTCAATTCTATACATTCAAATATTAAACAATTCAAATTTAATAACAAAGATATTACAATAAATAAAAAAATGATTAAAAATGTCCCTGAAAATTTTCTGAAAGCTATCTCGTGTTTAGGTCTCAATTTTTTTTAGAAATAGAAAAAGATTGGATTTAACTTTCAAACATTATATATAGTTTTGTATATGGAAGCCTTTAAATACAAGTTAATGATATGGAGTTGTATTGCGAGGAAGAGGGAATCAAAGAAATTGACGAAGTTCCAGAATTTTATTCAACAATTCTTAATCAATTAACAAAAACTATACCGAAACTTATCTTACCATCCAAATCAAATCACATTACATACGGAATAAACATTTAATCTTTTACCATTAAAATTATATTTATACGTTATTTAATTTTTTACGTCTAAGTTGAATAGGATAATAGCCGAAGATATAAAGTAACTATAGTTTACAAGCTAAGGAACAAATCAGCATTGAAACTAAAAAATGCTGAAATATTATAATAAATTGAAGAAATACTGTGATAGAATACCTAGTTATACTAGATACTATTATAATATGAATTCATTTGTATTGAATATCGATTAAAATAAAATGGAACGTCAATTTGACAGACTCAAGTTTCGAATTAGAGACCAACTTTCATCAGCATAGTATATGTGCGCAAACTACTGCATAATGGTATGCTTATCTTTTCATTTTAAAAAATAACGTATTTGAATAATTTCGTAAAAAATTAGAATTACTCGATATTAAGCATATTGCTTTTCTATCATATATGCTTATATTCTACAATAGTGTTACCAAACATCGGGCAACATCATACGTATAATACAACTTTTTCGTACTTCTTTATCGAATTTAAATAGAACTAAGTTTTTATTTTAAATAAAAGAGAAATAATTCTAATTTATAATCTCATTATTAATTTATTCTCATTTTAATATTTCATCGATTTTTTATTATCGATATTCAATACAAATGAATTCATATTATAATAGTATCTAGTATAACTAGGTATTCTATCACAGTATTTCTTCAATTTATTATAATATTTCAGCATTTTTTAGTTTCAATGCTGATTTGTTCCTTAGCTTGTAAACTATAGTTACTTTATATCTTCGGCTATTATCCTATTCAACTTAGACGTAAAAAAATTAAATAACGTATAAATATAATTTTAATGGTAAAAGATTAAATGTTTATTCCGTATGTAATGTGATTTGATTTGGATGGTAAGATAAGTTTCGGTATAGTTTTTGTTAATTGATTAAGAATTGTTGAATAAAATTCTGGAACTTCGTCAATTTCTTTGATTCCTTCTTGAAGCGTTGAAATTTCTTATTGACTCTCTTTTTATAACTTTTGAAAGAAACCGTAAAAATTGTGAAACATGCTTTTTAATAAAAAACAATTTTGATGAAAGCCATAAATTAATTTAAAATTGAAATAAATTTTTGAAATCTATGATATTGAATAAAAAAATTTATAGTGTAGATATTGATATAGATATAGATGTTAATTTTAATATGATATTTGATAAAATTTTTTTATCAAAACATACTGATAATAGGTTGACATGTAATATGATATTTTGCCTTGTAAATATATTTGGTCGGCAAAATAACCTAATTACTCTTATTTTGAGTTCACTTCCACCATTTCGTCTTATGATAATTTTGGTTGTACACCACTTGTATGTGACGGATACCATTGTGTCAAATTTTTTCTGAAATTAACTTTAAAAGTACTAAGTAAGATCATTTATTTTTGCATAATATAATGCCAATATGGTTTCTTTTGATTTTATTTCATTTATAAGCAAATCAGATTTACCCAAAAACTCCACTCCATAAGCGTTCATTTGCTAAATTAAAAAGTGACAATGGGCTAGTCTGTCCCTTTCTCATTCAAATCACATCAAAAACAAAAACACATAAAAAATATTTTATTATACTCATTCGAAATTAAAAATAATAAAATTTATATATATTAATTTCATTAAATCAAGGATAAAAATCTCACCGGAAAAATAACCTCAGTGTGATAAATTTATCACCGGAAAAATTTACAATGAAAAAACCAGAATTTTCGAAAAAGTGACACCAACTATTAAAGTTATTTTATTACTAGATTTATTTACAAATTATAAGATAATATCATTAACCGAATATATTTTTAATATAAATAAAAAACTTTTTTTATACAAAAAATTACAATCAATCGATAAATATTATAAAACATTTATTCCAAAAAGATCAAGTAATAGGTGGGATCCTGCATATAATATAATTTTATGTCATAAAGTTTACAAATTTTAGATGGACCACAGTGAGAATGTGAGTGGTTAATTTAAAGGTGGTCTGATAAAGAAATCGAGGCTTACTCAACACAGCATGAAGCAGTTTCTAATACACAATCTTACTAGTCGTGTTTCGGTCGCCAGCGCTCTCATAGGGGTGCTGATTTCAAAAACCACTACTTCAAATTATTCAACAATACTCAATGCAGCATGAAGCAGCTACTACTGCTGTATCTTACTTGTAGTGTTTTGGTCGTTGGCTCTTGCACAGTCTCTCAGATTTTCAAAATTTTTTCAACACTATCTTGTTTCGCTCTCAGAAAGCTATCCTACAAAGACATCGAAGCTTACTCAACACAGCATGAAGCAGTTTCTAATACACAATCTTACTAGTCGTGTTTCGGTCGCCAGCGCTCTCATAGGGGTGCTGATTTCAAAAACCACTACTTCAAATTATTCAACAATACTCAATGCAGCATGAAGCAGCTACTACTGCTGTATCTTACTGGTACTGTTCTTCGCTTCTTACTATCAACTCTAAAACTAGTTTGATGTATTATTTATTCATATATAAATATATACATATATAAATATATACATATATAAATATATACATATATAAATATATACATATATAAATATATACATATATAAATATATACATATATAAATATATACATATATAAATATATACATATATAAATATATACATATATAAATATATACATATAAGGTCAGGTATGTGGGGCTTCCAGGGGCTGCGCCCCTTCTAGCCCTAAGAATTTTGCCCAAGACCCAAGAGGAGGACCGAACCCCAGCCGACCAGCCGGTGATAAAAACCAAAACCGTTTTTAAAAAGTGACAGACAACTCCGTTTTTTAAAAGTGACAAAACCGTTTTTCACTATATAAGAGATATGCAAACAAAAAAGTGACAGCCGCATGTTTTAAACTACAAAAACCGCTTTTTAACTTCACTTAAAATGCCACGTAAGCTACGTAAGAATATACGTAAGAGGAAGAGAGCATTGAAACATCCAATAGTAAAACTGACACCACAACAACAGTTGCAACAACAAATGATGAATGACCCCACTATGTTGCAACAAATGTCAAGCAACCCTATGCTCTTAAACCGAGTTATTGGTGCACAGAGTGGAGGTTTAAGAGCGGCACTTTTAGCGAAAGTGGCAGGCTATGGTGGAGCTGCAGACGGAACAGCTTATAACCCTCAAAGTCAAATGAATTTGAGTTCACTCAAAAATCAAATAACAGATGTCAAAAAGTCAAACATAGACATACAGAAACAAATAAGTGAAAACGAAAAGAAACTAGAATATGACAGACACACAAAGAAACTCAATGAGTTAAACGTAGAGAAAAAGAAGAAAGAAGAACAACTGAAAGAACTAAGTACAGAGGAATATGCGAAAAAAGTGTCAGAAAAAGCAGCAGAAGTAGCAAAAATGGAACAAGATGTTATAAATTTGAAAAACCATACTACTCAATATAAAGTACTGAAAGATGAAGAGATAAAACAAAAAGCCCTGAAGACATATATGGATAGCGATGAGTATAAAAAAGAAGTTGAAGCAAATGTAAAGGCAGAAAAACTTTTACAGTTGCAAAACCAAACCGTACAGTATGAAAACTTAGCACAAGAAAGTAAAAATAACGACGCAGCCATGCAAAAGGCAATGAAAAGCGCAGAATATATAAAAGCTAACAATGACTGGTTAGATGCCCAAGCCAACGCTAAAGCAGCCCAACTTATAGGGTCAATAAGGACAAAAATACAAGCGGATGAAGACAGTTCAAATGAAGCTTTAATGAATGCTGACTTTAAGAATGCCTTCGAAGCTCTTCATAGTAAGGTGAAACAAGTGAACGATTTCTCATCTGGAAAGAAACTGAAGTCTGAAGGTTTCGACAAAGAGTTAAGAGAAGTAGCACAAAATATGACGAAAATAACAGATGCAGCAACGAGACAGGCAGTTCAAAGTGCCTATGACGCCGTTAGAGCAACTGTTGTGGAAAGTCAAGAAAAAGAGTTACAACAGACCAAAACAGACCTAGTAAATGCTTTCTTAAAAACGAAAAGTCAGGTAGGACATTATGCTGCAGATGGAACATATGTGCCAGCTGGTGGAACTTATATACCAGCTGGTGGAACTTATATACTAGCTAGTGGAACTTATATACCACCAAACCCTCCAAGAGAAGCACCTGCACCAGGACTACCTAAAACATTTACATCGTCACATGGACACAGACACAGGCATGCACAGAAACAACAACCAACACAACAACCAACAGTTCAAAACCCTGCACAGCAACAACAACCAGAGCAAGGACAACAACCAGCACAACAACCACCTCCACAACCAGCACCACAACCAACAGTTCAAAATCCAGCACAACAACAACCACAAACAGAGCAAGGACATAAAAGAAGTAGAGAAAAAGGAAACCAAGAATTCTTAAAAATGCTTAAGGAAGATTATGGTTACCCAGATACTCTTGACTTTAGTGACAGATATAAAGAAGCTATTAGAAAGTTCAAGGAAGGAAATACTGACCCGAACCTATTTAGCTTTATGGTTCAGCACCAAATGGGATATAATTTCAAACCTGGAAAATACAAGCTCGCTAAGGGATATGATTTAATAGCATATCATCCAAATGACATGGATGAATTTACTCCGAGATATTTGGTGTCAGAGATAAATGATAATTCAACTATCTTCATGAAACGCGTAAAAAATAGAGACGGAACGAAAGAAGAAAGGGTTATGAATGCGGATGACTTAAATAGGGAACTTGTTAAAAACGGTCTCGGAATATATGAAATGCCACCAGATGAGGTACAAGAAACTCAACAGGAAGAAGTTCAGATACAACCAGACATGGAAGAAATAGTTCAGCAACAACAGCTAGAAGAGCCTGAAGGAAACGAACAAGTCCCTCCTTTGGAAACTAACTTCACAGAACTAGATGAAGATTTGGAACAGCCGAAAAATCTTGACCCTCAACAAGAGTATGCGGAGAATATGGAATCTTTCCAAGAGTCTAAGAAAAATTCGGCTGACATAGTAGAAGAATATCGAAAAATGTTCGCCGACATACAAAAGACTCCAACATCAGATGAAAATATTCAGCATAGAATGGAAGTACTGAAAGAAAATGTACGCAAATACAACAATCCTTTTTACTTACGAGCATATAACGTTCAATCTTTGGATGAACTCGGTGAAAATAAAAGGTTAAATTTCAACAAAACATATAAAAATGAAACATTGTTTAAAGTTCATTCAGAACCTAACCAATATGGAAACAAACCTACTTTTGTTTCTGCAGACTATGGAACTACAATGAGATGGGGTCATAAAGCTAATCCGGATAGGTGGTTCATAAACTTACAACCACAATTCCAAGAAGTTGTAGACGCAATGGAAGTGAATGGTGAACCAGATATAGCTGGTATTTTCAGCGCGGCTTTAATGCCATTGAAAGATATGAAAGATGCAGATATTTTGGACCAGTATGAAATGAACATGGCTGATGGAAATATAACACCTGACGTTCTAAAACATTTATCTCAAAGAACTACACAGAACCATAGAGATGGTATATTTGGTGAAGAGTTTAGAAAGAGAGTTAGGGAGAGAGAAGGAAGAGAACCTATTGTACATGACCTTGCAAACGAAAGTTTACAAAATGTCATAAAAACTTACTTTGCAGACAATGAACCGAGAAGGGATGAATATTTAAGAAAACTCAAATGGACAGTACCAAATGAAATGTTAGTATTGAAAAACATGTTCCTTGACAAAATAAAACCAACTACAGAAATAAATGACGCAAGACTGAAACATTGGGTAAAAGCTTTCCCATTCACAAAAGATATTATTGGTAACATGGAAAGAAAACCAGAATGGCTACAAAAACATATATTTGGAAACGAGCTTATTCCATATGGACAAGCTCTGTTTGAAGAGCTTGAACCGGAAACTCAGGAAAGAGTCATGCAAACAATAAGCGACGACTCAAATACAAACTATGACGAAATCTTTCTAGGATATAGGTTACCTGAGATGGGCGACCAGAGCCCAAAGGCAAAAAGGACATGGGAAATTTGCAACATACTAGGTGAACATGATGCAAAGATGCAACAAAACTCAGTCAGGAAGAAAGTAAAGCTTGGTCCGAAACAATTATGACACATAAATCCAACTATTCTATATTTTTACCCATATGAAATGTACGCCGCTCAGAATATAACGCCAACAGTTTTGGATGCCATGAACGGAAATGTTTCCGAATGGTATAACGAATGCGATAATGCCATTAGAAGGTCAGAAATAGTTCCTGGAACTTACGAATATACAACTGCTGTTTCTTATGGAAACGTAGGTGAGTTTGGAGAAGGTTCTTCAACAACAGTAGATATTGCTTGCGACAGGTTTCATATTATTTCTATTGACAACTCATTCTTATACGTGGAACAAGACATTGAAATAAAACCTTCTGCCAAGTTGTCTGACAAGAAAGGTTGCAATGGAATTTTCTATGTCGGATACCAATATGCTCCAGAAGTTTTCATGGGATATAAGATATATTCTAACTCTGACTTAGTTCAAACAGTAACATGGGCAAACTATGAATGGTTCGCTTTGAGAAACTCAGTACAACCACAAGCTAGAGAACAAACAGACCAGTATGCAACTATTGAGAAAATAAGAAGACTTGACCCTAACGTTCCAGGAGTTTATGTTAACCTTTCTGGACAAACTGCAGCAGCAGTAACCAAAGTAAAACTGAAACTTAGAGTTCCTTTGTCATCTTTCCTCATCTTCAGGTTTTTAAGATACTTGCCAAACTGGGCAGGAAAAATTTCTATCGAACTTACTCCAAGCAAAAATAACTTAGTCATTGCACCAACGCAAGACCCATTCACTATTACAGACGTAAAGGGAACAAATCAAACGTCATTCGCCGACTTTTGCAAAGACAAAGTTGACTTAGACTTTGGTTTCTCAAACCTCAACACTGAAGTAAACTATTATTTCAATGCTGCTGGAACTGCTTGGGACCCAGTTAAGTTTACATGCGAAAAATTTGAATGCAAGAGAATAGAAAGCAGACTTGCCGTTTATATGTTGGACCCAGATATTTCAAATGCTTTAGCTGCCAAATATATTGCAGTTCCACTTATGTTCCCTATACACCAAATATCTGTCAAAGACTTTGCAGGTGAAGTTGGAAACCAAAGTGCTGACCCGGGTGCAAGAACAGATATTGCTTTAACAACTGCAATGAAACATGCAGATACTATGTTTGTACTGTTCAGACGAACTATAAATGACTATTCTTGTTTCTACAACCCTGGTATTAAATATCATATAAACATAGATGGCAAATATTATCCAAGAGAAGAATATTCTACAGTTGAGGATATGAGGTCATACAACTTGACATTAGATGCTATGAACTTTAACAACAACTTCACAACAACCATTAACCCTGAAATGCAAAGTTCTATTATGCCATATGTGAAAGTATGGACTCATACAGGAGGTCAAAAAACTCAATATACAAATGGAGACCGTTCAAACTTTTGGCTTGGCATTCCATTTGCTGACTCAGAAGACTTTATGGGTGGTATTTCAACTGTTGGTACAGTTCAAATACAATATACTGGTGACAGAGACGGTCCAGATGAATTGAAAGCAAAGAAGTTTACAAAACCAATAGCACTTTTCACGGAAGATGCTCTTTTGAAGATTCGTTCGATGAAACCTGCTGGGGCTCCTCAGATTGGCATAACGACAGCTTCCATCGAGCAGATTTTGGCAGCAGGTCAGTAAGTTGTTCTTGAACTGACTTCTCTCCGTCAAATATTGACAGTACGCCAGTTTTGACATAATATTGTATTATAAACTTACCTTTAGAAATATCTGTAAGTTTTGAAGTTATATTTTTGTCAACGTCAAGAACTTTCACCATCTCGGTTATACCAACTTTCTTTGCTTTATGAAAATATTTTGGTTCAGCAAATATTGCTATTCTATAACATTTACCATTGTTTGTATAAAGAACTATTCTGTCAATGTATTTGTATTGTTTGTGAGTATAAACCTTGTTTTGCTTCAATTCGAAGAGATATTCGAATACGTCCATCTTTTTATTCTAAGTAAAATGTCATTTCCGAAAAATAGAAGCGTAAGTGTTTCAAAAGGTTTAATGGCGGTGGCAGATGTGAAGTTAAATTCACCAACTCAAACAAACAGTCAAAGTGTTGTTGTCAATGTCAAAGACAGAGATGTTGAAGTGGGGAAACCATACGAAGACGAAGATGGTATAACAATTGTTCCTGTAAAAGAACAACCAACATATCCTGAAGTTAGCAGAGACTTAAGTTCTGTTGCAGATATTCGAAACGACTACCAACAACTGAAAGACAAACTTAAAACTCAGGAGAAGATTTGTCAAGCTTTAAGTATAATGTTAAACTTGGTCGAACACAACCCTGTAAAAGTGAACTCATATGTCATTGCACCTCATGAAGTTTTGAAAGAACTATTGAAACTTTTGACAGAGGCAGACGATATAAACATCAAAGAAATAGAACCCGACATTAGTTGCTGTGGTGTTTCATATAATGTCATTGACAAGATATACGTTATGAAAGGAGGTGAAACGTTGAACTTAAAATATAGTTTCCCAGACGTTATAAAAATATTTGACGACCACAACATTTCATTAAAATTTATTTGCTAAGTAAAAATGTCAAAACTTCTTGAAAGATGTTTGAAGAAAAAATATAGACTTTATTTCATGTAAAGGACTTTACACACTTTTGAACGATATGAAAGACCCTGTTTTGTTTGTTCGTGTGACAAAGGAAAGTTCTATGTCTTTACAAAATATTTGAACTTCTTAGACAGAGAACTTCAAGAAACGCCATGTGAAAGTTTAGATGAAGTTCTTCTCCACTTTCAGAAAAACTTTTAAATATATATAAATGGAGGAAGACATAATGGTTTATACTATTACGACTAAAAACCCTGAGTCATATAATTCATAACAACAAACTTACAAAGTCCTCAAGGACGATATTGTAACTAACCTTAAACACAATGACGACTAAAGCCTGTTTTGCTCTTTTGACACCAGAAGACTTTATTGTTGTGAATGGTAAAAAAATACTCCTTTTTGAAGATACTTACTCAGATATACCACCAACAGGTTTTGTTGACTTATTTAATACTTTAAGGACGGGTGTAACATGTGCTGCAACTAGAGCAGGTTTCATTATGTTTGGATGTCCGACTGAGTTTACTATAAACGATATGAGCTATAATAACAAAACTTATTTCTGGTTTTTACTACCAACAGTTTCCTATAACAGGAAAAGGTGTCATACAAGGGAATGTCTATCCATTGACATTAAGCACACCAATCTTATATATGTTTCAAACTTAGGTTCAAAGTGTTATTCGAATGTCGACAGAAACTATTATGACCAAAGATACTTATGGTATAAACAATACTTTCTCTGCTGGGTTTGCCTATTGTTCATTCGAATGCAGAATTTTCAACCTTAGTGAACTCAAACACTTTGGCAAGTATACGTTGACATTAGTTGACGCAAACTTTGTTCCTGTAAAACTTTTATGTCCTATTGTATTTGTCAATGACGGCAGAAAGTTTCGAATTGGAAGATGCAACTGGTGAAAGTATTGTATTACAAGAACAACTTCAACAACAAATAGCTCAAGAACAACAAATGCAACAAATGGAACAACAAAGTCAAGAATAAAAAAATATTATTTTTTTATTTTATTAAAAATGTTACAGAATAATGTTTCAGATTTTTATGACTTCCAAGCATTCAGAAATATGTGTCCATTTCGAGACTATAACAAAGCAGTCGAGAATTTGAAACGTTTAGTCATTTATGTCGACTCTGCCCAGAATGTTATGTTATGAAAGAATGGGATGTTGTCTTTAACAAACCAAGAGCAACAATAGTGTCTGAACAAGAATGTAGACAGAACTTAAGAAAATAAAAGTTGTACAAGTTGGCATGAAGATGTTAGATGCTTGGGATATCTTATGTCAAAGTTAGAAGATTTTTCAGTTCGTGGTATAAAGTTTTATACACCTTCTCCAAACTTCTATTCTTATCTTCACTGGATATAAATACGAACAAGTAGAATGGAAAGAAATATTATAGAAGCTTGGTTAGACCATGTCAAAGAAATTATATGCAATGGAAACGAAAGAGTCTATGAGTATATCTTATGTGGTTTGCAAACATCTTACAACATCCAAGTGCTAAAAATGAAACTGCTCTCATTATAATTGGAAAACAAGGAACAGGTAAGAACACATTCTTTACAGATATCTTATGCAAACTGTTAGAAGGTTATTCGAACCCTAATATGACAAACTTAGAAAACATCTGTGGCAAGTTTAACTCCTCAATAGAGAATATGAAACTTATCGTTGCAATGAACTTCAAAGTATAGATACAACAAAAGTTTGAACTCAGATGCTTTGAAAGAGTCTTTAAACAGACAAAGTTGGAGTTGTTGAAAGAAAGTATAAAGACCAAAGAGTTTGTGAAAATGTTGCAAACTTCATATGGTTTCAAACAATACTGTTTCCGATGAAGTTAGAAAGTTCTGACAGAAGATATGTAGTTGTCAGAACGTCAGAAGCTCATATGCAAGATACAGAATATTTTGACGACTTAGCAGAAACTTTGACATCTGACTTTTACAACCACTTGTTCTCATATTTCATGACATTAGATATTTCTAAGTTCAATCCAAGACAAATTCCACATACCGAAGAGAGACAAACATTGTTAGAAGCAACAAGAGTGTATATGAACTGTTCATAGATGAAACTGACTTTGTGTCATTAGATGAAAGGTCATTGTACGATTCGTATAAACAATATTGTCAAGAATATGGTTATATGGCAGGCTTCTAAAACGAACATTCTTGGGCAAATGTCAAAAGTCTTTTAGATGTTCAGAATGGTGTATATACAAAGAAAATTTTTTCTGAGTAAATTTTAAAAAAAATATTTTTTATCCGATAGAAAAGATGACAAAATTCATCTCAGTAAACAAGTACATGTCAGGACTTAAAGAAGAACTAGACCCATTCACATATTTGAATGTTTACTTCTACCATTTTGAAAAGTCTTCATTCAGCAAAGTTTTGGAACATCGAACCAGTTAAGTTTGCTATTGTGACTAAAATGGTGCGAAATTTGAAGACTTAGACATAGAAGGTTTGTTAACAGTCAAAGAAAGTTTTGACAGAAGGTTCTCAAACCTTAAAGAAGGCAAAGCATACAAACTTGTTATACCTTATGAACCAAAGAAAGCAGACGACTATGAATATTATGAGTCTAAAGTTGTAGAAGTTTCAAGGTAAATTGGGTAAAAAGATTTTAGAGTCTAAGCCAGTGTTTGCTCCTAAAGAGGAAGAGAACATTGACATTGACCCAGAAATGTTCTAAAAATAAAAATTTTATTTTTACATGTCAAATTTCTTTTCTCTGGAACTGGTTTCAGGTTCTTTCTTCTCTTCTTCTACTTTCTTTTCTTTCTTTCTTTCTTCTTTTTCTTGAAGCGTTGAAATTTCTTATTGACTCTCTTTTTATAATTTTTTGAAAGAAACCGTAAAAATTGTGAAACATGCTTTTTAATAAAAAAACAATTTTGATGAAAGCCATAAAATTAATTTAAAATTGAAATAAATTTTTGAAATCTATGATATTGAATAAAAAAATTTATAGTGTAGATATTGATATAGATATAGATGTTAATTTTAATATGATATTTGATAAAATTTTTTATCAAAACATACTGATAATAGGTGACATGTAATATGATATTTTGCCTTGTAAATATATATTGGTCGGCAAAATAACCTAATTACTCTTATTTTGAGTTCACTTCCACATTTTCGTCTTATGATAATTTTGGTTGTACACCACTTGTATGTGACGGATACCATTGTGTCAAATTTCTGAAATTAACTTTAAAAGTACTAAGTAAGATCATTTATTTTTGCATAATATTATGCCAATATGGTTTTTTTTGATTTTATTTCATTTATAAGCAAATCAGATTTACCCAAAAACTCCACTCCATAAGCGTTCATTTGCTAAATTAAAAAGTGACAATGGGCTAGTCTGTCCCTTTCTCATTCAAATCACATCAAAAAAACAAAAACACATAAAAAATATTTTATTATACTCATTCGAAATTAAAATAAATAAAATTTATATATATTAATTTCATTAAATCAAGGATAAAAATCTCACCGGAAAAATAACCTCAGTGTGATAAATTTATCACCGGAAAAAATTTACAATGAAAAAACCCAGAATTTTCGAAAAAGTGACACCAACTATTAAAGTTATTTATTACTAGATTTATTTTACAAATTATAAGATAATATCATTAACGAATATATTTTTAATATAAAATAAAAAAACTTTTTTTATACAAAAAAATTACAATCAATCGATAAATATTATAAAACATTTATTCCAAAAAGATCAAGTAATAGGTGGGATCCTGCATATATATAATTTTATGTCATAAAGTTTACAAATTTTAGATGGACCACAGTGAGAATGTGAGTGGTTAATTTAAAGGGTCTGATAAAGAAATCGAGGCTTACTCAACACAGCATGAAGCAGTTTCTAATACACAATCTTACTAGTCGTGTTTCGGTCGCCAGCGCTCTCATAGGGGTGCTGATTTTCAAAAACCACTACTTCAAATTATTCAACAATACTCAATGCAGCATGAAGCAGCTACTACTGCTGTATCTTACTTGTAGTGTTTTGGTCGTTGGCTCTTGCACAGTCTCTCAGATTTTCAAAATTTTTTCAACACTATCTTGTTTCGCTCTCAGAAAGCTATCCTACAAAGACATCGAAGCTTACTCAACACAGCATGAAGCAGTTTCTAATACACAATCTTACTAGTCGTGTTTCGGTCGCCAGCGCTCTCATAGGGGTGCTGATTTCAAAAACCACTACTTCAAATTATTCAACAATACTCAATGCAGCATGAAGCAGCTACTACTGCTGTATCTTACTGGTACTGTTCTTCGCTTCTTACTATCAACTCTAAAACTAGTTTGATGTATTATTTATTCATATTATATATATAATTATATAAATATATAATAATATAAATATATACATATATAAATATATACACTATATAAATATATACATATAATATAAATATATACATATATAAATATATACATATATAAATATATACAATATATAAAATATATACATATATAAATATATACATATAAGGTCAGGTATGTGGGCTTCCAGGGGCTGCGCCCCTTCTAGCCCTAAGAATTTTGCCCAAGACCCAAGAGGAGGACCGAACCCCAGCCGACCAGCCGGTGATAAAAACCAAAACCGTTTTTAAAAAGTGACAGACAACTCCGTTTTTTAAAAGTGACAAAACCGTTTTTCACTATATAAGAGATATGCAAACAAAAAAAGTGACAGCCGCATGTTTTAAACTACAAAAACCGCTTTTTAACTTCACTTAAAAATGCCACGTAAGCTACGTAAGAATATACGTAAGAGGAAGAGAGCATTGAAACATCCAATAGTAAAAAACTGACACCACAACAACAGTTGCAACAACAAATGATGAATGACCCCACTATGTTGCAACCAAATGTCAAGCAACCCTATGCTCTTAAACCGAGTTATTGGTGCACAGAGTGGAGGTTTAAGAGCGGCACTTTTAGCGAAAGTGGCAGGCTATGGTGGAGCTGCAGACGGAACAGCTTATAACCCTCAAAGTTAAATGAATTTGAGTTCACTCAAAAATCAAATAACAGATGTCAAAAAGTCAAACATAGACATACAGAAAACAAATAAGTGAAAACGAAAAGAAACTAGAATATGACAGACACACAAAGAAACTCAATGAGTTAAACGTAGAGAAAAAGAAGAAAGAAGAACAACTGAAAGAACTAAGTACAGAGGAATATGCGAAAAAAGTGTCAGAAAAAGCAGCAGAAGTAGGCAAAAAATGGAACAAGATGTTATAAATTTGAAAAAACCATACTACTCAATATAAAGTACTGAAAGATGAAGAGATATAAAACAAAAAGCCCTGAAGACATATATGGATAGCGATGAGTATAAAAAAGAAGTTGAAGCAAATGTAAAGGCAGAAAAACTTTTACAGTTGCAAAACCAAACCGTACAGTATTGAAAACTTAGCACAAGAAAGTAAAAATAACGACGCAAGCCATGCAAAAAGGCAATGAAAAGCGCAGAATATATAAAAGCTAACAATGACTGGTTAGAATGCCCAAGCCAACGCTAAAGCAGCCCAACTTATAGGGTCAATAAGGACAAAAATACAAGCGGATGAAGACAGTTCAAATGAAGCTTTAATGAATGCTGACTTTAAGAATGCCTTCGAAGCTCTTCATAGTAAGGTGAAACAGTGAACGATTTCTCATCTGGAAAGAAACTGAAGTCTGAAGGTTTTCGACAAAGAGTTAAGAGAAGTAGCACAAAATATGACGAAAATAACAGATGCAGCAACGAGACAGGCAGTTCAAAGTGCCTATGACGCCGTTAGAGCAACTGTTGTGGAAAGTCAAGAAAAAGAGTTACAACAGACCAAAACAGACCTAGTAAATGCTTTCTTAAAAACGAAAAGTCAGGTAGGACATTATGCTGCAGATGGAACAATATGTGCCAGCTGGTGGAACTTATATACCAGCTGGTGGAACTTATATACTAGCTAGTGGAACTTATATACCACCAAACCCTCCAAGAGAAGCACCTGCCACCAGGACTACCTAAAACATTTACATCGTCACATGGACACAGACACAGGCATGCACAGAAACAACAACCAACACAACAACCAACAGTTCAAAACCCTGCACAGCAACAACAACCAGAGCAAGGACAACAACCAGCACAACAACCACCTCCACAACCAGCACCACAACCAAACAGTTCAAAATCCAGCACAACAACAACCACAAACAGAGCAAGGACATAAAAGAAGTAGAGAAAAAGGAAACGAAGAATTCTTAAAAATGCTTAAGGAAGATTATGGTTACCCAGATACTCTTGACTTTAGTGACAGATATAAAGAAGCTATTAGAAAGTTCAAGGAAGGAAATACTGACCCGAACCTATTTTAGCTTTATGGTTCAGCACCAAATGGGATATAATTTCAAACCTGGAAAATACAAGCTCGCTAAGGGATATGATTTAATAGGCATATCATCCAAATGACATGGATGAATTTACTCCGAGATATTTTGTGTCAGAGATAAATGATAATTCAACTATCTTCATGAAACGCGTAAAAATAGAGACGGAACGAAAGAAGAAAGGGTTATGGAATGCGGATGACTAAATAGGGAACTTGTTAAAAACGGTCTCGGAATATATGAAATGCCACCAGATGAGGTACAAGAAACTCAACAGGAAGAAGTTCAGATACAACCAGACATGGAAGAAATAGTTCAGCAACAACAGCTAGAAGAGCCTGAAGGAAACGAACAAGTCCCTCCTTTGGAAAACTAACTTCACAGAACTAGATTGAAGATTTGGAACAGCCGAAAAATCTTGACCCTCAACAAAGAGTATGCGGAGAATATGGAATCTTTCAAGAGTCTAAGAAAAATTCGGCTGACATAGTAGAAGAATATCGAAAAAATGTTCGCCGACATACAAAAAGACTCCAACATCAGATGAAAATATTCAGCATAGAATGGAAGTACTGAAAGAAAATGTACGCAAATACAACAATCCTTTTTTACTTACGAGCATATAACGTTCAATCTTGGATGAACTCGGTGAAAATAAAAGGTTAAATTTCAACAAAACATATAAAAATGAAACATTGTTTAAAGTTCATTCAGAAACCTAACCAATATGGAAACAAACCTACTTTTGTTTCTGCAGACTATGGAACTACAATGAGATGGGGTCATAAAGCTAATCCGGATAGGTGGTTCATAAACTTACAACCACAATTCCAAGAAGTTGTAGACGCAATGGAAGTGAATGGTGAACCAGATATAGCTGGTATTTTCAGCGCGGCTTTAATGCCATTGAAAGATATGAAAGATGCAGATATTTTGGACCAGTATGAAATGAACATGGCTGATGGAAATATAACACCTGACGTTCTAAAACATTTATCTCAAAGAACTACACAGAACCATAGAGATGTTATTTGGTGAAGAGTTTAGAAAGAGAGTTAGGAGAGAAGAAGGAGAAACCTATTGTACATGACCTTGCAAACGAAAGTTTACAAAATGTCATAAAAACTTACTTTGCAGACAATGAACCGAGAAGGGATGAATATTTAAGAAACTCAAATGGACAGTACCAAATGAAATGTTTAGTATTGAAAAACATGTTCCTTGACAAAATAAAACCAACTACAGAAATAAATGACGCAAGACTGAAACATTGGGTAAAAGCTTTTCCCATTCACAAAAGATATTATTTGGTAACATGGAAAGAAAACCAGAATGGCTACAAAAACAATATATTTGGAAACGAGCTTATTCCATATGGACAAGCTCTGTTTGAAGAGCTTGAACCGGAAAACTCAGGAAAGAGTCATGCAAACAATAAGCGACGACTCAAATACAAAACTATGACGAAATCTTTCTAGGATATAGGTTACCTGAGATGGGCGACCAGAGCCCAAAGGCAAAAAGGACATGGGAAATTTGCAACATACTAGGTGAAACATGATGCAAAGATGCAACAAAACTCAGTCAGGAAGAAAGTAAAGCTTGGTCCGAAACAATTATGACACATAAATCCAACTATTCTATATTTTTACCCATATGAAATGTACGCCCTCAGAATATAACGCCAACAGTTTTGGATGCCATGAACGGAAATGTTTCCGAATGGTATAACGAATGCGATAATGCCATTTAGAAGGTCAGAAATAGTTCCTGGAACTTACGAATATACAACTGCTGTTTCTTATGGAAACGTAGGTGAGTTTGGAGAAGGTTCTTTCAACAACAGTAGATATTGCTTGCGACAGGTTTCATATTATTTCTATTGACAACTCATTCTTATACGTGGAACAAGACATTGAAATAAAACCTTCTGCCAAGTTGTCTGACAAGAAAGGTTGCAATGGAATTTTCTATGTCGGATACCAATATGCTCCAGAAGTTTTCATGGGATATAAGATATATTCTAACTCTGACTTAGTTCAAACAGTAACATGGGCAAACTATGAATGGTTCGCTTTGAGAAACTCAGTACAACCACAAGCTAGAGAACAAACAGACCAGTATGCAACTATTGAGAAAATAAGAGACTTGACCCTAACGTTCCAGGAGTTTATGTTAACCTTTCTGGACAAACTGCAGCAGCAGTAACCAAAGTAAAACTGAAACTTAGAGTTCCTTTGTCATCTTTCCTCATCTTCAGGTTTTTAAGATACTTGCCAAACTGGGCAGGAAAAAATTTCTATCGAACTTACTCCAAGCAAAAAATAACTTAGTCATTGCCACCAACGCAAGACCCATTCACTATTACAGACGTAAAGGGAACAAATCAAACGTCATTCGCCGAATTTTGCAAAGACAAAGTTGACTTAGACTTTGGTTTCTCAAACCTCAACACTGAAGTAAACTATTATTTCAATGCTGCTGGAACTGCTTGGGACCCAGTTAAGTTTACATGCGAAAAAATTTGAATGCAAGAGAATAGAAAGCAGACTTGCCGTTTTATATGTTGGACCCAGATATTTCAAATGCTTTAGCTTGCCAAATATATTGCAGTTCCAACTTATGTTCCCTATACACCAAATATCTGTCAAAGACTTTGCAGGTGAAGTTGGAAACCAAAGTGCTGACCCGGGTGCAAGAACAGATATTGCTTTAACAACTGCAATGAAAACATGCAGATACTATGTTTGTACTGTTCAGACGAACTATAAATGACTATTCTTGTTTCTACAACCCTGGTATTAATATTCATATAAACATAGATGGCAAATATTATCCAAAGAAGAATATTCTACAGTTGAGGATATGAGGTCATACAACTTGACATTAGATGCTATGAACTTTAACAACACTTCACAACAACCATTTAACCCTGAAATGCAAAGTTCTATTATGCCATATGTGAAAGTATGGACTCATACAGGAGGTCAAAAAACTCAATATACAAATGGAGACCGTTCAAACTTTTGGCTTGGCATTCCATTTGCTGATCAGAAGACTTTATGGTGGTATTTCAACTGTTGGTACAGTACAAATACAATATACTGGTGACAGAGACGGTCCAGATGAATTGAGAGCAAAGAAGTTTACAAAACCATAGCACTTTTTCACGGAAGATGCTCTTTTGAAGATTCGTTCGATGAAACCTGCTGGGGCTCCTCAGATTGGCATAACGACAGCTTCCATCGAGCAGATTTTGGCAGCAGGTCAGTAAGTTGTTCTTGAACTGACTTCTCTCCGTCAAATATTGACAGTACGCCAGTTTTGACATAATATTGTATTATAAACTTACCTTTAGAAATATCTGTAAGTTTTGAAGTTATATTTTTGTCAACGTCAAGAACTTTCACCATCTCGGTTATACCAACTTTCTTTGCTTTATGAAAAATATTTTGGTTCAGCAAATATTGCTATTCTATAACATTTACCATTGTTTTGTATAAGAACTATTCTGTCAATGTATTTGTATTGTTTGTGAGTATAAACCTTGTTTTGCTTCAATTCGAAGAGATATTCGAATACGTCCATCTTTTTATTCTAAGTAAATGGTCATTTCCGAAAAATAGAAGCGTAAGTGTTTCAAAAGGTTTAATGGCGGTGGCAGATGTGAAGTTAAATTCACCAACTCAAACAAACAGTCAAAGTGTTGTTGTCAATGTCAAAGACAGAGATGTTGAAGTGGGGAAACCATACGAAGACGAAGATCGGTATAACAATTGTTCCTGTAAAAGAACAACCAACATATCCTGAAGTTAGCAGAGACTTAAGTTCTGTTGCAGATATTCGAAACGGACTACCAACAACTGAAAGACAAACTTAAAACTCAGGAGAAGATTTGTCAAGCTTTAAGTATAATGTTAAACTGGTCGAACACAACCCTGTAAAAGTGAACTCATATGTCATTGCACCTCATGAAGTTTTGAAAGAACTATTGAAACTTTTGACAGAGGCAGGACGATATAAACATCAAAGAAATAGAACCCGACATTAGTTGCTGTGGTGTTTCATATAATGTCATTGACAAGATATACGTTATGAAAGGAGGTGAAACGTTGAACTTAAAATATAGTTTCCCAGACGTTTATAAAAATATTTGACGACCACAACATTCATTAAAATTTATTTGCTAAGTAAAAATGTTCAAAACTTCTTGAAAGATGTTTGAAGAAAAATAATATAGACTTTATTTCATGTAAAGGGACTTTACACACTTTTGAACGATATGAAAGACCCTGTTTTGTTTGTTCCGTGTAGACAAAGGAAAGTTCTATGTCTTTACAAAATATTTGAACTTCTTAGACAGAGAACTTCAAGAAACGCCATGTGAAAGTTTAGATGAAGTTCTTCTCCACTTTCAGAAAAACTTTTAAATATATATAAATGGCAGAAGAACATAATGGTTTTATACTATTACGACTAAAAACCCTGAGTCATATAATTCTATAACAACAAACTTACAAAGTCCTCAAGGACGATATTGTAAAACTAACCTTAAACACAATGACGAGAACGTCAATTTGACAGACTCAAGTTTCGAATTAGAGACCAACTTTCATCAGCATAGTATATGTGCGCAAACTACTGCATAATGGTATGCTTATCTTTTCATTTTAAAAAATAACGTATTTGAATAATTTCGTAAAAAATTAGAATTACTCGATATTAAGCATATTGCTTTTCTATCATATATGCTTATATTCTACAATAGTGTTACCAAACATCGGGCAACATCATACGTATAATACAACTTTTTCGTACTTCTTTATCGAATTTAAATAGAACTAAGTTTTTATTTTAAATAAAAGAGAAATAATTCTAATTTATAATCTCATTATTAATTTATTCTCATTTTAATATTTCATCGATTTTTTATTATCGATATTCAATACAAATGAATTCATATTATAATAGTATCTAGTATAACTAGGTATTCTATCACAGTATTTCTTCAATTTATTATAATATTTCAGCATTTTTTAGTTTCAATGCTGATTTGTTCCTTAGCTTGTAAACTATAGTTACTTTATATCTTCGGCTATTATCCTATTCAACTTAGACGTAAAAAATTAAATAACGTATAAATATAATTTTAATGGTAAAAGATTAAATGTTTATTCCGTATGTAATGTGATTTGATTTGGATGGTAAGATAAGTTTCGGTATAGTTTTTGTTAATTGATTAAGAATTGTTGAATAAAATTCTGGAACTTCGTCAATTTCTTTGATTCCCTCTTCCTCGCAATACAACTCCATATCATTAACTTGTATTTAAAGGCTTCCATATACAAAACTATATATAATGTTTGAAAGTTAAATCCAATCTTTTTCTATTTCGAGAAAGGGACAAACTATCCAGTGTCACTTTTCAAAGGAATAAAAAAAATAATAAAGATGAAATAATAACATGAAATCTTATATAAATATAATTTTATCTAAATAGATAAATGAATTAAGCAGTTTACAGTTATATATATTTAATGAGAGACAATATCTAGTTCTATGGTAGAAATGGCTCTTAGACTCAAATAAGTAACACAGATAGAAAGTACTCAGTATAACAATTATATATGTACACTCAAAGTTAGTCGCTGCTAAAATCTTAACCTTGCATTTCGGGAAAATCTGACAAATGGCTCTTAGACTCAAATAAGTAACACAGATAGAAAGTACTCAGTATAACAATTATATATGTACACTCAAAGTTAGTCGCTGCTAAAATCTTAACCTTGCATTTCGGGAAAATCTGACAAATGGCTCTTAGACTTGTTTTGATAATTAATTCTTCAATTATATTATAATTTATAACAAATTTCCTCAAACTATCTGTATGTCATTCAATTCCCGGCCACTACATTCAATGATGGACCATTTCCTTCAAATTTTGAAATACCTTATTCAATTTGTTGTATGGAGCCCGTGATATTCAACACTATGGAGCTCCTCCAGTTTGGTATCCAAGAAGAGATAAAAGCTAGCAT